GCTCAGGACTCTCGTGGTGACGGAAGTGAATGTTTACAAGTATGACTGTGTGAGGTACTTGTGGTGGTGGGTTATCTCCCTGAATCTTTACCAATGTTGAGATATCTTGCCGTGTTTCCATTATATAGGAAGGAGAATAACAATTCCGACATGGACGGTGTATGTTTAGACTGCTAAAAAGTGGGAGAGGCAGGATTTGAACAGTCCGACTCTAGACTTTTATGCAATGCACTATTAGGAGGGGCATTGTAAAGATTTGGAAATGTAATTACCAAATTTTGTTGCACCTTTCAATCAACTTTGCAAAGTGTTACAAATAGAGATTTGGGGGCCGTGTTATCAGCAGTTGTGAGTCACTGACCTAGAAGGTGGTATTGAGTGGCATTAGGTGGTATTAAGTTGATGGTCAAAACATGGAGAGCTTCAATTTCTCGTTAAGGAGGTTGCACATGCTGGAATTTTACAGAGTTAGGCCTGTGCATCTCTTTGTATCAAATAATGTGACCTTATAAGAAGAGAACTGGATCTGTGAACCCCTTGTGTGGACCAACATCTAAACAGCGCAATGTTTGGAGAATGGAACTGACACTTCAGTGTAGAGAGAATTGTCAGGCCGGTGGAAGGGAGCCTCCTCTGTGTCAGGAAAAGGAGTCAGATTCATTAGCCATGTTCAGTGTAGTGAATGGCAGCAGAGATGGTTTTGGGTGGAATATTTAATATTATATTTGTCATTGGTTCAGCCACCTGAGAAGTATGGGTGTATATTCCAAAGGAAGGAAAGGATTTTGTGTTTTTGAACAAATACACACGCACACATACTGCAAAAACTAATGAAACTGTCTCTCAACCACTTCTTCCATCCCTATCAACCTCTCCTCTCTTAAACATATTCCAAGCTATAAGTGAATGTGGAGAATGAAGTGACTCATTCTATTTTAAGGAGTTGATAGGATGCCTTCAAAGAGGAAGGTAATACTGACTATTCCTAATTTTAAGTAGTGC